ATAAATTTGACAATGGATTCGCAATGTGCTCTCAGTGAGTTTCCCAATGATAAACAAATTAATAATATAATTCCCGTAGGCCATCAAGTTAGGCCTGACGAAACTCGAAATTACTGAATTCGCTTAATCCCACCGTCATAAGGCAAAACTAATTCACTAGGTTTCACACTGTGGGAGTTTCTCAAGGACATATAATATAGCGGGTTGAACGTAATAGTTCATCGTGATGACCACATCGTAATTATGTAAATTTAAACTCGTGCGACAGTACTGCACGATAACAACTACTGTCGATCAACGCCGAACTGTCCCATTCCGATATTATGTTTCTGTCATCACTCCTCGATTTCTCTCTAGCAGGCCTCTTTTGCCTTAAAATTTAAACTAGACGCGGATACCTCCTTTGACTCCATGCCGACTTTGTTGAGTCTGTGATTAAGCAATTGACTGTCATCTACGGCATGGGATCCATATAAATTTAAGTAAGTTAGATTAGCTATTTGACGCTATTTATGCAAAGGATAATGTTTAATCTAAAGAATTAAACGAATGTATGTTCCGCCATATGACTGTGGCGGTTTAGTCTCAGGAAAACATATCCACTGGAGCAAAGAAATGTAATGTTAAGAGCATACCTTCTGCGAAATCGAATTTCACAGCCCACTACAAAATTCCCATAATGTAAAGAGCCTACTAGGCTGTTGATGTCAGCGGCAGCTTGGTAATTTTGAGTATGCGCAGTGCCAGAACCATACCATCCCATTTCAACTTCTCACACAATAAGATCAATCGTTCACCGGTTGATATTCTTTCTGTTCCGCCAAACAAACTCTGGTCTAGTACTGTAAGCAAGTGAAAAAACGACAAAAATTTTCACAGGATGCAAATTGTTTTGAAGGTCAACGAATATAGCAGGTTCAAGAAATCTTTTTAATCGACTCTGCAATCGGTTTATGTTAATGTTCGGACCAGATTTATGGGATGAATCACAAGACTCGAAAATGTGAGGCACTGATGTGCTCAGTTCCTTTCTTAACAAAAATATTGTACAAAATGTTCTTCTAAACAGAACCCACTCTACAGTATCTAACTCCAACGACTTCGCAACTGTCAGATGAAAACGGGCTCGATAACCTATGGTAATTCCATATACAAGTACATGCACTTCATTGCAGGGAACAGTGAGTTGGCATTTTCTTACAGATACGTCACTTTACTACTGATGGAAATTATTTTCAGCTGAAGCAGTGTTGTACTTGGCTATGAATACATGGCACTGGAAAGCAAATTACATTCACAAGCGACAAAAAACCGTTTATTCCAAACTTTCAGTTGGCATTATATAAACATCAATCTCGCTAGCCAGGGTCGCCACATACACTGACACATGTAGTGGACGAACAAGTTGTCAGCAGACCACGCTAGAAACCGAACATGCGTCGACTACTCACCGGTATCTGTTAAGCGATGCTATCCATACGCGTACTGCTTTAGCAGAACTAAAAGAAATTTGAAATATGAAATACACAATAGTTTAAGAAGCAGAAACAAGCATTCACAAATGAGCATCCAATAGGCGTTCAAGCAAAAGCTGGCATGAAAATTCTGGATAGCACATGGATGCTAGGGTTAAGAAATGGCTGTAAACTATGGTCAGCGGAAATTTCGTTACGTAAAAAATTCGCTGCAAAATCAACAAGATGTTTTAAAGAAAAAGTCATTTAAGTCTGTTGCAAAGAAGTAGAGAACAAAACAATTTAATTTTTATTTTTGGTGCTGATGAAAGTTCAACGATGAGAAATTACCAAAAATAAGAATGATAAACTTTCAGTTCAATTGTGGAAAGCAAAGGATGAGTTAAAATGTCATAAAAATATACCATCCTTCCAAAAGCTTAACTATGAACATCATTCAATGATACTGACCGAAAGTATGATCCCGGATAAAATTTACAAAACTGAAGTTTCTTCGACGAAACCGTTCAGGTAAAAAGGCGCATTCAGTTTCGAAAAAAAGGCAAGCAGAAACATCTTCACTTATAAATCGCTAGCATTTTAGACCGAAAGATCGCAACTGTGTCAGTCAGAATACGTGACCAGGATACCACAACTGGATGGAGATTCGCAAAAAAATCAAACAGCAATGACAACGATCAGGAGGAAAAGAAAACTGCGAGCAAAACAGATGGCTCGACATTGAAGGCCCGGTATTTCTGCGCTATTGAATCAAGTGTACGTAGCTTGCCTCATTATTGGGGGAACGGGACAGCTGGGAAAACTTTATGAAGCAAGTTCCTCTCTACTAAAAGGAATAGGAAGCATCGAAAACGAAAAACTTACCGTCATTTTGGACACTCTGGTCGCCATCCTCATCATAATCACTATAGCTATAGTTGACAGAATCATTATAATCTTCGTCATCACTAACCTTACGCTGTCAACCCCTGCTCAAGCGCTAAACGCGTATTATCATTCGGACTGGGGAGTCATCATAGTGAAGATTTCAGTTTAACTGCGACGGCTGTCACAATTATTACTGAAACAATGGGAATAATCGAAGCCTCTGACGATCAGTTTGCTATCAGAATATATCAATTCAAGAAACATATCTTTGCAAAGCCTTAATTGGAAAGATTTTTGTTCTTAACTTTAACTTAGTGGCAGTTCGGTAGTACCCCCACCCACACTTGAATATGCACATACCCTTTTGCGACAAATTGTAAAGAAAGAAAACAGTAAAGATAAAAAAATGAGATAAGCAAAATAAATAATCGAAACTAAAGCATAATAACTAATATAACTTTCACCTTCCAGCGATTTCCACATTCTCGGCAGAAAACGAACGTCGTCATCGGTTCGTCTGCACTTCTAGTCTGAACCTAAACATTTTCCGAGTATTTTAACAAAAATGTATACACAAAGTAGAAGTAAGATTTAGGCAAATATATTGCTTTCCAACCGCGATGCTAATAACCATAAAAACAACTGAAAAGCAACACGAATATCAACGTGTGTAATACAAATTCCTTACTTTACACGGATACTGCGGTATTTCAAGACTAATATGTCATTAAACCGGATTATACTGCGGAGTTCCACGACCCTTTTGCCATTAGG